CCCCCCCGCCATCACCCCCAGCTCCTCGCCAGGGGCTCCAGAGAGGTTCGGGCCACTGGCCAAACAGCCCGGCAAACCCACGGCTGCCAGGGTCTCCGTGGTCCCTCCATCGCGCCGTTCGGTGCTGCTTCCAGCCCCCGTGGCCTTTAACGTGACTGGTGTGGCAGCGTGGGCTCCTCGCCCGGCGCGGGAGGCGGCAGCTGGGGGAAGGGAGATGCTGAGCTGGGAGATGGAGCTGCCTGTTCCCGCTCCCCGCCGCGGGGAAGGTCCCTGTCCCCGGGGGGGGGTCTGCCCGTGTGTCCCCCACGGACTCAGCCTGTGTCCCGTGGGCTCTGCCCGGCCGGGACCACTGTGGGCACAGACCCTCCTCCTGCCACCATCCCCGGGAGTAACGCTGGAGGCTGTGGGGGAGAGGGAATTACTGCCAGCGTTATGCAAGCGGCGTTGCCTTTAAATAGACTCTTATTCAATGTTGTCCAGGAGGCAGCGGAGAGGCTGAACATCAGCACCGTTTGCTCACTGGGGTTTTGTTTTCTTGTGCTGCAGCCTCCCACACCCCCAACCACCCCCCCGATGCTCTGGAAGTTGTTTAGAAGTTGGTTTGGGGCAAGGGCCTCTTTGCCACCCCAGCAGCCCGGGAGCTTCTCCCCCCTCTTCATTAAATGGCAGCAGCCCTTTCACTCGGTGTTTAATTGGATTGTGTAACGCAGCGATGCCGTGGCAGAGCCGTGGTAGTTTCTATGCCAACACAGCTGGATGGCGGCACTGCCTGGGGGGGGGCAGAGGAGCTGCACCCCCCCCCCCCAACACGGCTTCACCCCCCGCCCCGACACAGCTGCACACCCCACTGCCTCAAATGCTTCCTGAAACACTTGTGGTAAAAAAATAGTGAGCTGATGATCGTGGTGGCAGCTGAGCTACCGGCCCTTCGTCTGGGCTCAGTGGCTTTTTGGCATGAGGCAGCTCAGGGCTACGGGGGGGCATGGGGGGGGGACAGTCCCCCGGGGTCGCATCCCTGAGGCAGAGCTGCCCTTGCAGCCCCCCCCAGCTGCTCCCCCAGCAGCATCTCTCCGCTCCCACCCCGCTGGGAACAACCTCGCTGCATCCTTTGTCCTCCGCCCTCCTTGGCAAACACCGAGTCAGGACCAGGCACTGCTTTGGTTTGCAGGGGGGGGGGCTCTTCCATTTTCCTTCTCCACTTCATCACTCTGCACCCTGAGCTCGCTCTGCCCTGCACGGGGCAGGAGGGGGGGATGAGCCCCAGGGGCAGGGTGCTGCCTGCATTTGGGGGTGGCACTGGTGGTGGTTTATTTTGCACTCAAAGCCTTGCACCACCACCCCCCCCCCGGCTGCACGCTCAGACCCGCGGGGAACCAGCCGCTGGCCCCTTCCTTTTCCCCGTTCACATATTTTAAGTGGCCTGGTGTCACACTGAGTCACCAGCAGAGAGACTGAAGAGGCTTTGGCAGAGAACAAGCCTGAGTTTTGATAGTTCAACTGTGGGAAAAAGAAAAAAAAAAAAAAAAAATCAGCGCAATTTCCTAATTAGAGCAACGATGGGAACAAAGCGGATTTGTTAGAGAGCTGCTCGCTGAGTTCGGGAATGTGACCTTTGCTGGCTCTTGGTGCTAGACGGGAGCTGCCGGTGTACGGCGGTGCTTGGCAGTGGCTGAAATGCTTCAGCAGTGACTGCTCTGACGGAGGAGAGCCCGAATTTCACCTTCTGGGGGAAGCCAGACCCACTGCCAGAGCGGTGCCTAATGTGGAAGGAGCACTGGGAAATGGTGGTTGCCCCTGGGTCACCCTCTTTTGCTATTTCCCCCCCCAGACGTGAGCTGGTTTCCCTGCCCTGCAGTGGAATGTGGCTCCTCAAGTCGAGGACAGGGTGTCCCTGCGAGGCCAGCACTGCAGAGGGACTGGTGGTCCCCAGCCCTTGGCTCCCACCCGGCCGTGGGACCGGCTGCTCTCAGCACGGGCTGGGGGGGGCTGATGCCGGTTTGCACCCGGGGCTGGAAGGAGTCAATGCCTGACCATGTGTGATTAATTAGTAGGAAGAGGAAACGAGCAGAGACCAGTCCCAGGGCCGTGCCTGTGCCTGTGAATCCGGAGGACACAATGCTCCTGCGTGAGCCCGTCCGTGCAGAGAGGCTGGCGAGGCCGCGCGGGGAGCTGCGTGGCCTTGGGACTGGATGGGGAGCGGTGGGAATTGGGCATCGTGTGCTTCGACCCCGAGAGCTGGCGTTTCTGCTGCAGCCTGGGAGCTGGTTCGGGCTGTTGCAGCCCGACTGTGCCCGGCAGACGCAGCTGTGGAACGAGCAAACGTGACCAAGAGGGCTGGGGGGGCTGGGGGAGGGGGGGGGGGGCTTGTACCAGCGCAGAGCAGCGTTGGCTGGGAGGAAAGGACGAGGTGACACGGGGCAGGGGATGGCAGTGGGGCCCGATCCTGGCCCGTTGGCCTCCTCTGCCAGCCGCCCCTCTGCAATGAACTGGTCCTTCTCAGGCAGGTGGGGGCTGGGCAGGGTGGGAGGCAGCACCCAAAGGTCTCTGCAGCACCCAGGGCCCCTGTGCAAGGTGCCGGCTGGAGGCACTGCCCCTTACGCCTTCCCCAAGTTCAGCAACGTGATACAAAATCCCATCATGCCAATTATGCAAAGCACATAAACTATTCCTGCTATTCAGAAGTATCCCCAGAGATCTCCTTAGCGAGCTGTAACTCAGCACTGCTCACTCATGAAAGCAGGACCTGGGGCAGATGAGGAGCGAGAGGGGCTCTGGGCTGCTCTGCAGCCTGGGAGCAAGGAGGACCTGCTGACCCCGGGGCGTTCCAGGGCTCCTCAGGAGCACACAGCCCTGCTCCCCTATCTGCTCCCACCCTGCGTGGCTTAGCATGGTTTTCTCTTTGCTTTGAAGACGAGATTTCTCCCTTCCGAGCCTCCCCCGGTCCCCGCCGAAGGCAGCGCAACTGGGGACCCGTCTGGCTCTGCCACGGCCGGTGCCAGCCCCGCGCCCCTTCCCCTCCTGCAGCAGCGGCTGTGTCCCCCCATCCCACCCGGTGCCTCCTCTCCCTCCATCTCCCCAGTCCCCATCACAGCTCTCTGCATCCGCAGCGCTTTGTTCTCCCACCCACTCCCTGTTTCCTCCGTCACTCGGGCTCCTCCCTGCTCCTGCTCCCCCCCGGAGCCTCCCGGCCGAGCCCAGGCTCCTCCACGCCGGCTCCTCGGCCGCTCTCCTGGGCAGCCTGGCCGGTGCCCCCCCTGCCCTGCCCGCACCCAGCGCCCCAGGAGCCGGGAAGGGCGCGAGGGTCTGCAGGGGACACACGGAGCAGGTCCCTGTCCCCCCCACCCCCAGCCAGGACGTGGGGGTTTCCAGAGCCACGTTCTGGGCACGCTGCTGCTTCGCCGGCCTGATTTTAACCCTACGGGCCGGCTCCGGCTTTGACCCCGGCAGCAAGAGCATCCCAGGTGGCTCCCAGCAAAGTGCTGCCTTTTGCATCCCGCTCCCTCCCAGGATGCGGGAGTGATCGGGGGGGGGGTCCAAGGGTCCATCCCTGAAGCTGCACCAGCTCTGCCAGCGCCTCCCCCCCCCAGCCCGCGCTCCCTCCCCGGGGCTGCCGCTTCTTTTAGGGCCATTAGTGCCCCCGGCGATGAGAGCCGGTCCCCCCGCAGCGCCCAGCCCAGGCTCCGTGCGGCCGGTGGAGAGGCCGGTGACAGCCCAGCGCCCGGCTCAGCTCAGAGCAGCAGCGTCCCTCGCCGTCAGCAGGGCCACGGGCTCCGATGAGCTGTGTCACAGCCGTGAGCAAAACCGTTCCCGGCATGCGAATACCTGGAAACAGCAACTTTCACTGCAGGGAGGTTTGTTCAGGTGCTACTTCCAATGGGATCGGGGAAAACCTGCTCAGGATGATTGGGGCGGGGGGGGGAGCAGTTACACCACGGTGCCTCAGTTTCCTCCTTTGTGAAATAATCCGGACCCGCTTTGTGAACCGCGGTGAGTCCTGCTCGGCAAAGTGTGAGGCAGGAGCTGGAAATTGCAGACTCTGCGGTTTTGGACTCTGTGCTGGAGTTCAGTGCTGCAGCTCCCACGCAGGAAACTGAGAGCCTGAACTGGTTCATCCATTGCTAAACCTCGATAAATGGCTTTACCTAAATTGCTGTTTGTGTTCGGGAGCATTTAACCGGTGGAGAGCTGCTGGCACACGCAGGGAATCTCCAGTTTTGTGACAACTTTTAATTCCTGACCCTAAGAAACAGAAGGTGTGAACTCGTGTGTGCCTCGAGGCAGCACAGGGAGCAACACGCCGAGAAGGGCACGCTCAGCGGTGCACACTGGCCATTTCACACTCGAGGGACGTGGAGCCCGTGGCTGTGGACGGACCAGTTCCCACCAGCACAAACAGTGATGGCACCGCAGCCTCGCATCCCGCTGAGCGGCAGCCGCGCCGCAAAGGGAAAAGCAAAGCTGAGTTTGAGTGGGTGGCTCCGCGACTCGGGTGTTGGTGTGGGGGTTTTCTGCCCCAGCTCCCACAGAGGTTAATGAGGTGCCTCGACAAAAAAGCGGGGGACAGCCCAGCGTTGAGGAGGGGGCCCCCCTGCCTGCTCGGCTGCGAGCCGGGGGGACAGGAGTCCAAGCTGAGCGTGGTGGATGGGGAGCAGCGCGTCCTGCGCTGACGGCTGGGTTGGGTTTGCTCAAACCTGTCAGGCTGATTCCCCGGTGACCCCGCCCTCCCCCAGATGTCAGAAAAATCGCATTTAAATTATTTTAGAAATAATTAACTCCTGGCGCAGCGTGGAGAGGGCTCACACCTGACTGCGCAGCAGCAGCGCGTCAGGACTCTGATGGGGAAGCCATCTGCCCAAGACAAAAAGTACGGAAATTTCCTGGTAATCTCATTAACAAGTTGACACTTGCAGGTAGGCGCCTGCCCTGAGCCGGGCTGTTCGCAGGGTCACCGAGGGCTGGCGGGGTTTATCCTTCCCTTTCAGCCCGTATCAAAAAAAGGAGGAAACGAGAATGAAGGAGCAGCCCGAGGCGTGGTGGTGCGGGGAGCGGGGCGGCCTCCGCTCCGTCCCCGCCGAGGGACCGCGCTGGACAAGCAGGTGAGTTAGAGATGGAGGCGGCTTCTTCCACGGGGCCCGGCTGCCTGCAGAGGTGCCCGGTTCCCCGCTCAGCCTCTCCTACTCTGACACTTCACGGAGCCGAGGAGCGAGCAGCGGCCGCCCGGAGCCGTGCCCGGTAGCAGATCACCCGCCGAGCCCCCTGGCAGAAGTGCCAGGGGGGATGGCGAAAGCCGGGGGGGGCTGTACCTCTGCGTCCACCTCTCCTGGTGACACATCACATCCAAAGCTGAGGGATCACAACCCACCTTTATTTTTCCTCTGTCTCCTGTGTCCCAGGAGGCTTCCCTGAGGCGCTGAGGATGCGGCAGCTCCCGCTGACCCCATGCAGCATCATTTTCGCCGCCCTGCAGCCACCTCCCTGCCTCCATCCCCTCTCCGGGCGGCCACCGCCATCCCCCAAACCCCACGGAGGCATTTTGGCGAGAGGTGAGCACCTCGCTGGGAACCCAGAGGGGTTGTTGGCCGTAACAGTCCCCGCGTGCGGCCGCCGCGGCCCCGGCACGATGCTGGGTCCCTGCGCCGGGGCGCGTGACCCGGCTGGGAGAGCTGGCGTGACGCCACGCTGGTAATTAAGAAGGAACCTAATGAAACTTCGAAAATAGCACAATTTCCTCCCCACACCTGCAGCCGAGCGGGGTGGATTACATAAGTTGGTGTTGCCACAGCAACTTCACTCCACCCCGGGCTGGAGGTGGCCGGTGCCGCGTTTGTGCCGATGTGCTGTCACCCCGGGGAGAGACCCCGATTTTGCAAAGGGGGGGGGGGGGATCGCCCCAGGGACGGGTGCCAGCTCCGGGGCTGGCAAGGCTGTCTCTGGGTCGGTGAAGGGCTGCTGCCTGTTTATCCCACGGGTGGTAAAGGTCTGGCGTGGGGGGTTTCCCACATTGCACCCACCAGGTTTTGCTCCTCCGGCACAGCCCCCGCGGTGGAAAGGGCCTTCCGAAAGGGAGCCCGAGAGGTGCCACGGGGATTTAGGTAACCTGTGAGGGACTGTGCCACCATGGTTACCCTGGGCACGCTCCAGCTGCCGCCGAGCCCTGGGGAGTGAATCACCCTGACAAAAAGACAGCTAGCAACAAAAAAAAAAAAAAAAAAAAAAAAAGCGAAAAGCAATCAAGGCAAATGTTACGGCACGAGGCAACGGCAGGTTTTTCCTGCCATGAATTCCCAGGGTGCTCCGGGCGGCAGCTCTGCCGTGGGCTCCGGCACGGCCCCGCAGGCACGGGCAGCACGGACCGGCCCCGGGCAGCCATTGCCAAGCAAGACTTTTTGACATGGGAAAAGCCAAGGGCCACTATTATTTGGCAAATCTGCCTCTTAAATGTGAGACTAAGAAATCACTGGCTGCTCCCAGCCGCAGACTCACTTTGGGAGCAGGGGGGTGCGAGGGGGAAAGGTTTTCAGTACTCAGATTTCCTGGGGATAAGGAGAAGCAGAGGATGGGAAGAAAGTGGAGCGGCTGAGAGCAGGCCTAAATGCAAGAGATTCTCTGAGGGTCGTCCCCAAAGGCCTCTTTTATTATGAAAAATTACAAATCCTTTTATCTTCTTCACCAGAGGAACAGCTTGTTTGAATTGCTGGGCTGTCACACTGGAATTAGATGCAAGAACCCCCCACATCCATGACGTAGCGAAGAACTTACATAACGTAACTAAAAATAAGGTGATGGGGATGCGGATAGCAGCACTCTTTTCCCGGACGCTTGATCTGAAATCCTTCGCTGGCACTGGGAAGCCAGCGAGGCGCCAGTGTCCGGCCGAGGGAGCAGCATCGTGCCAGAGCCGACCCGCCCGGCCGCGCGGGATGGAGGGGGCTCGAGTGGGGAAGGGGCACTGCGAGGTCCCTGCGTCGGTGCAGGCAGCCGGGCATCCCTCCTGGGAGCGTCTCCCGTGGCAGCCTTGTTCCCAGGCCCCCCCCCCCCGAGGTTACATCCCACCCCCTCTTCTCTTAATCAGCCACGGAGGGAAAGGGTTACCCGGCCGCTCTAGGAAAAATGAGAAAAAATCCTTCTCAGGGGTTGCAAATTCTTCCCCGTCCTTTGGAGTGTGAAACCTCTGAGGGGGTAGAAGCCAAAATGGGACCCAAATGTGGCCGGAGTGAGCGGCCGCCTTTGGTGCCCCCGGCTCCTCGCCAGAGCGGGCAGCACGAGGGGCGTCGAACCGGGAGGTTTGGGGCCGAGGTACCGCCTGGTGCTTGGGCTCCTCGTGCTCCGAACTGGTGGAGGAGATGACGGAAGATGCCGCGCTCAGCTGCTTAACTGTTTCACCACTTCTCGGGGCGGAGAGGAAGGTGAGGAAGGCTTGGCCCGGAGATGATCCTCCTCTGTACGGCCACAGGCACACGGAGACGTTACCGGCCACGCACAGCCCCCCTTTAACCACGGGTCACCCTGCGGGGAGCAGCGGGGGGGCTGTAAGGCGAGGGGATGTGGGGCGCTGGCTCCAGGACATGGCCCCGCTCCTCGGGTCCCTCGGCACCTGGGCGAAAGTCGCTGCCACCAGCCCGGGGGACGGGAAGGACGGGGATCCACAGCTTTGCTGTCCCGCGGGCGGCCAGGAGGGCTGGGAAGGGATTCCTGGGGGAATTGCGGGGTGATGAGCTGTGAGTCTGGTTCTCCCAGCTGGCCAGGCGGTGGGACAGCGTGGGGACAGCGAGGGGACAGGCAGGGGCTGCCTCTCCTCCTGCCCGGGCTGCTCTCCCTGCGCCGGGCTCTGCTCCGGGCTGCGCCCAAGCACCGCGGGCTGTGCCGGGCCGTACACTGTGGTGACGGCTCATCCCGCCGCTGCTCTCCCGGCCAGCGGCCACCGTCCTTCCCCGTATAAAACCGACACCCAGCAAACCACCGGCTGCTCTTCCTCTTCCAGCTGCTCCTCATCCCATCCACCCGGCACCGCGCAGCTGGGGAGGGGGGCACAGCACCGTGGGCGTGGGGGGAACGGCGAGGGTGTGGGGTACAGCAGGAGCTACGGGTGAGGTACCTCAGGGATGTGGGGTACAGCAAGAGATGTAGGGTGGGGTAAAGTGGGGGTATAGCGTGGAGTATCGGGGGGTGTAGCAGGGCGTGTAGGATAGGTTATGGGGCATAGTGGGGGGTACGGGATGGGGAATGGGGAATGGGAAGGGGAGGGGGAATGGGGTGTGGGAGAGGGAATGGGATGGGGAATGGGGTATGGGAGGGGGAATGGGGTGTGGGAGGGGGAATGGGATGGGGAATGGGGTATGGGAGGGGGAATGGGGTGTGGGAGGGGGAATGGGGTGTGGGAGAGGGAATGGGATGGGGAATGGGAAGGGGAATGGGGTGTGAGAGAGGGAATGGGATGGGGAATGGGGTATGGGAGGGGGAATGGGGTGTGGGAGGGGGAATGGGGTGTGAGAGAGGGAATGGGATGGGGAATGGGGTATGGGAGAGGGAAAGGGGAATGGGAGGGGGAATGGGGTGTGGGAGAGGGAATGGGATGGGGAATGGGTTACGGATGGGGGCACGGCAGGGAACAGTGGGTGGGTTATAGGAGGGGGCAGAGCACGGAGCATCCCTCCCGCCTCCCCCTCAAACCCACGCCGCGCTCGGGCGCTGCCCGGCCCAGCCCGGCTCCTCCCCGCGGGGCGGGCCGGGGCGGGCGGAGGCCTCCGGGAGCTGATAAAAGGTGGCGCGGCCGCTCCTCCGCGCTTCTCTCCGCGCCCGCCGCCCGGCTCCGCGCCGCTCCGCGCAGCCCCCGCCGCCGCCCGCCCATGGTGCTGCCCGGCCCGCCCAGCATGTCCCGCTCCGAGGAGGTGCACCGGCTCACCGAGAATGTCTACAAGGTGAGCCCCGGCAACAAGTGCCGCCCGGGTTTGGAGAGGCGGGGGTGTCCTTTAATTTTAATTTTTTTTTTTTTTTTTTTTTTTCCCCCCTCCCATCCTTCCCATCCCCCGCCGGGCGCGGGCGGGAGGAGCCGCCGCCGGGGACCGGGGCCGCCCCCGCTCCCTCCCGGGGTTGCCCACGGAGCGGGGCGTGGGGAGCAGCCCCGGGCACCCCGAGGTCCCCCCCCGGCCGCTGCGCTGGGGGGTGGGGGGACTGGGAGCCTGCGTGGGAATTTGGCTTTATCTCACGGGCGGTGCTGTCCCCAAATCACCTCGGTCCAGGTTTGCGGCGGCCACTCGCTTTCCTGCAGCAGTGAAAGCGATCCAGCCTTCTCTGTGGCTTGATTATAGCTGGAGTTTCTGAATATCTCGATGGGGTTTTTTTGCTTTTTGCTTTGCTCCCGGTGCCATGAGAAAAATAAAATAATTTATGTGCGTTAATTTTCCTCGTGAAGGAAGTGGTTTCTGCTCTGCTGAGTCCTGTGCTGGAGTCTAATAAAACCTTTCTAGCCTAACACGTAATGCAGGATGTCATTTGTTAAACTGGAAAGCTTGCACGATTTCCTGCACTTTAAGTGGTTAGATAGAGTTACCTGGGAGCACTGAGCAAGAAAAAAAAATTATTCAATCCTCTGGTAGAAAAATTTAGTACAAAAGGTACCAAGGTAGTGAAGTTCTAAAGTCTTGGGGTTTGGGATCCTGGGGCACACCAGCTGTTCGGAGGGAGCTAATGGCACCCAAAATCTCAGCTATTCTGGGCGCAGAGCACGTCTGCGACTGGAGCTTTTGGTGTTTAACTACAGCTGGGGCTCCCGCCACCCTCTAAATGCAGCTGATGCACCCGGCTGGCTGCTGGGTGCGCTTGACCTTGGGCAGAGCCTGGCACCGCGCTCGGGTCACCCTTTCCCTCCCACGGAGCCCCGTGTTTGGGTGTCACCGGAGCTCGTCCCCCCCGGCTCCAGCGACAGTGTGCTGGGTCTGGGGACAGTCGCTGGGAACAGTTTCGTCTGGGTGACTCAGTTGTTGGTTGAGGTGTGTTGTCCTCGAAGAACTGTGCTAATGACAGGTTTGTGGAGCAGGTCACCGTTCCCCTGCGCGCAGCCCCGTCAGGAGCGTGCGGGGCGGCCCGTGCCATCGCAATGACTCTGCTTAAATGAAGCTTCCCCCCAAGAGACGAGGGGTGAATGCTGGCTGGGCTCTTCTCTTGCCTCTGACCATCGGCTTCGTTGTTCCCGCGCCACTCAAATGGAGCGGAGCACCTTTGGCCCGGAGCAAGCGGCTGCGCCGGCTCCATCAAAGCTGTGGCTGATCTGGCTGAAGTGCAGAGGGTGCACGGGGGCCTCTTGGCTCAAGAGCCAAAAGTGGACTCGAGAGGAGTCCAAAGGTCTCCGTTGGTTAGTGAACACATTAATATTTTGGCGGGAGCAGCCAGGGTGTAGGGAGTGAGGACGTGGAGCTGGAGGCAGATCTCCTGGTCTCGCCCAACATCAGGGTCTCTGTGCTGGAGGAGGATGGTCCTGACTCCATTTGCATTTCCTGCCATGAGCGAGGAGCCTTTTCTCTGAAGATGATGATGCTTTTCTTGGCCCCTGGAGGTGTGTGGCATGGGGTGTGTGTGGGAACCAGGTGTTTGCCTGTTTCTTTGAGGACTTGTGTGACCTGGAGCCCGGCGCTAGGGCTGGAGCCTCGGGGACTGTGTGGACTCTGCAGAGCTCTGCAAGCTTTGGAGCCTCCCAGTCCAAACCCACCCCCAGTGCTTCCCATCCCCATCGCCCAAGTGTGAGTTTGCTTTTCTGGCCTGTAGCCTTGAACGCTGCTGTCAGGAGAAGACAACCCTGGGGAAGGGGGACGATGCTGGGGAGGTTTGGCCGTTGCCTCCTCGCAGCCACCAAACCCCAACCCGCAGGGGCGCGGGATGGGCGGCTGCCCCTCGCTTTGCTGCCAGCTGCCACCGTTGTCATCTTGCCGGGGTTTCGGCAGCACCAGGGGGTCGAGCCGGTTCCCCGCGAGGTCTGGAGCAGGGGGGAGCAGCAGCTCTCGGGCTGCTCCCCATGGCAGGCACCCTCTCCCGTGCAGGTTTCCCCGAGGCGTTGCTGCTCGGGGAAGGCGTTGCTGCTTGGGAAGCCCATTGTAATCATTTTCCAGAACCAGCGCTCGCCCTCGGAGTGACTGTGCTAATGAGATGGTGGAGGAGCTGTCAGCCACCCCCTTGCCGATGCTGCCACTACAGGCAGCTGCCTACACATGTGTAGTAATTACAGAGGGAGACGGAGGCTGCTGGCACCTTCCGCCAACGTAATCCCACCTTCCCTGGCACTGATTCACCCGCCTGGACCCCGGCGCAGCGGCACGGATGCTGCAGACCTGGAGGGGTGAAACCTCTCCGGCTGCGGGCGCAGGGTCGGGCGGCTCGGTGGCGGGGCAGCTCTCCGGGCTGCTCCCCGTGCCCCGCTCGTCCCTCGCACAGGATTGTCTGTTTGTAGAAAGGAGGGGACTGGCGATTCTTCTTTCCCCCGAAGACAAATCTGTCTCATGACAGGTTAGATTATTGCTGTTTACAGGCTAACCTCCATTTCATTTTAAAGCTATTTCTTCGTGTGGAAGATCGTTTTGCAATGGTGTATGAATAGCTCCATGTTTGAAGAGGTGTTCGCTTAAAAACACCCCAAACTCAAAGCCTAATTGTCTTGCACAAATGCAGGCATAATTCCTGATAGTCATTTGCTACACATCAGCTGTAATAAATGTTATTGCCGGCATAACAGCCTCTTGCCTCATTATCTCCAAGTCCAGAGGGAAGGGGAGTGATTCTTGCTCAAGTGAATCAGAAGGGAAATTGTGGGTGGCTTGGTGTGTTTGGCAGCGGAGGGATGATGCGGTGTGACAGAGGAGGAAGGAGCTGGCCCCTGGAGTCAGCCTGTGCCACCCCTGAGTTCCAGGCACTGTGCTCCCCGCTGTCTCTGCACCCCAGATCCAGGAAACCCGCTGGCTGGGGGCCGGGGCTCTGCGCGGGGCGGTCGGCGGCAGCACCCTGCTCCTTCCCCGGCTGTGAGTGCGGAGGGTGGCAGAGTGGAGGCCGGGCTTTGTCGTCCTGGCATGAGCAGGGCTGTGGGGTTTTTAGCGGGCCACACGCTTTTGCCAGAGTTGTGTCTTTGCCGGGTCCGTTTGAAGCGAGGCTTCGCTGTGGATTCGGCTCCGGGTCCGGCGCTGCCCCACGGCACGGGGGGTGGTGATGTGGGGCTGCCCTCACCTCCATCCCCTCCGCCTGCAGGCTGGGAGAGTGGTTTCTGACCTCCGCTGGGGTGACGCATCTCCAGGCTGTTAAAACTTGTGCGTTAAGAAGTGTTATAGAGCAGGTATCTCCTAACTGGCCGGAGGTGCTCCAAGATGCTGCTCCCTGGGATGGAGCTTCCCCTCCGGTGCCTTGTTGCATTGAGGCTGCTCGTGGCTAAACTTTTGCTGCCGTCTTGCAGGGCCGGGTCCGGCGTAGGCCAGCGCATGTCCGGCGTCTCCTGCGCCCAGCTCTTCCAGCCCCTTGGTGCGAGGTCTCTGGGGAGGGGGCTTGGGTGACCCTCCCGGCTCAGCAGCGGAGACCCCAACCCAGGGGGGCTGGGGACAGGTCACCCTCACAGGGGTGACAGCTGGTGGGTACTGACGAGGTGTTTCCCGGTGGGTGCTGGGGGGATCTGCACCCTGCAGGAACTCATTCCAGGTTCCTTCAAGCCCAGACCCCAATTACAAAGGCATTCGGAGCTCTTGCCCTGAAATTTGTGTCCCTTCACCCTCTGACACAATAGCTAGTAGAAACTAAATGCCCTTAGATGGGGACTCTGGGTTTTTTTTTTTTGTTTGCTTTTATCCCGATTTCCTTGTTGCTGAGTTCTTTCTCCAGTAACAATTGTTCATGCTCTCTGCCTTTCGGGGCAGGACCCCGTGGGAGCGGTGGCCGGAGGACAGTGGCTCAGCCCTTCCCGCCGCCTTGGGAGCGCGCGGCGAGGTGGGCTTGCTGGTGGCGAGGGAGGGATGCTGCCAGCAGCTCCGCTTGTGAAACTGCTGCTGCTGCGTCGTGTGTTACGGTGCACCGAGGTACCGGGGGCTTGGGCTGGCCGGGGATGTTCCCGGCGGCAGGGTTGCGAGGTGGGGGTGTTGCCAGCAATTGCAATCAGCCCCGCTAACGAGTCGGGCGAGGCTCCCCTCCCAGCAGAAACTTGGCTCTTAAAACTACGGGGCTGTCTTCTGGTGGCCCTGAGCGGGAGGAGCGGAGATGGAGGCAGCACTGGGGTTTGTTTGGGCATTAAATATTAATACAGAAATAATGAAGCCGTTCCTGGAGCAGGGGTGACCCATTTGGAGACTAAACTTCCTTATAGCTGAGCAGCTTCTGCAGTGTGACTGTGGTGTGGTGGAGAGTCCCATGGTGCTGCCCCTTCTGATGGCACTCATCATGGTCACGTAATGCCCTGCTGTCACCCATGGGTCGCCCAGGAAAGCCGTGGGTGCCAGGCTGAGCCCACCCACCCGTGCCACTGGGCAGCATCAGTCTTGCAAGGAGCCATCGCACCTTACTGCTGCATAAGGGCATCAAAGAGTGGGTTTAGGAAAACACTGAAGTTGTTTTTTAGCTCAAAGTCCATCGCTTGTGTTCGCTGAGGTGTCAGGGACGTCCCCAGCGAGCGCTGCCAGGCTGTCCCTACGAGGGGGGTGGCTGGGAGAGGAGCCCAGGGCACAGCCTACGCTGCGACCTTCGTGGCGATGCTCGTCCCTCGGTCAAATCCTGGCGCCTCCTCGCCTTGATCCCCGCTTGTCCAGCCCTTCGCCGCGTTGCTGCGTGGAGGAGAGGCTGGATATGAAGTCTGGCTGGAATTCCCGCTCCGTAATCCGGGCAGTGTGTGCCAGGGAGGTCCCACCCCAGCCCGGCAGGGATGCGCCGCGCTGGTGCTGCCGGCGGTGCGGAGCCCGGACCGCGGCTGCCGACCATCTCCTGCCCCAGCAGAGCAAAGGAGCACCTGCTTTTCGTTGTGCTCTGTATTTGGTTTTAGAAGCTACCTGGAAGGCTGCAGGGATGTACCTGGGGAGAACTGCACAGCCTGGTTTTTAAATTTTTCTTTAAAGCCTTTAAGGAGGCGTCGCGCAGGTCTTTCCTATGCAGGAGAAACCTGATATAACCTCAATCAGCTCCATTTCCAGCTTGTTCTTGGGGAGGACATACTTCTACTTATGAGCTGACCATTACAGCATCGGAGCAGCCCGTAGATCCTTGCTGCAGCGTGGAGTGCACTCAGAGGGGGAGAGATGGGGAGTTTATTTTCTGTTGCCTCTTCCCCCCCCCCCCCCCCCCCCCCAATTCATCAGGGCTATGTCCTGGAGACCTCGTGCTTTGCATTAGTTTCATTTTTGGCAGCTGAATAAAGCCGTGCCAGTCCCTGAGAGCTGAGTGGTATTACCCAGGGAATTTAGTGCAGTGGAACAAAGCAAAGCCCTTTCAACCTTTAGCTGCCAGGTTTTTTTGTCTGTGTTTTTCTAAACTCTGCCCAGGCGGCGCGTGGAAGGCAAACAACTTGTGGGTGGTGCTGATGGAGCAAAATTTGAGGGAGAAGGAGATTTGCTTTCATTACCAGAATTTTGCTGAGTATCGACTTTGCTGTAGTGTCCTGCCAACCTGGCTGCTCCTCGCCAGCCGAAGGACAGCCCTGCCGAAGCCCGGGGGGGCATCTCTGCCCTCCCTGCTCGGGGGGGCCGGGACGGATGCAGCGTCACAGGAGCAGTTACAGCACCTTGCTGGCTGACTTGAGGGTGCGAAGCGATTGCTTGTTGAGCATATTGCTTGACATAAATATGTTTATTTTTTGGTTTATCTCCTTAGCAGCTGGTAGCTTTTCAGCTTCTCACCTGGAGGGGGAATGCGAAGGTGTGTTAGTTCTGGAGTCACCTTCCTTTCCCACCCTGGGAGTGAGAAGGCGGCTTGAAAAACTATTTTTATCTCTGTAGTGAAGAGCCCTTTTCAGTGCACTCATCCTGCCGGGCTGTTTTTGTTGGACTCTCCAGACAATGTCTTAAAAACATTCACTTTCAGCAAACTTCCTATGCTTTCATGAATTTTATTTGGCCAGCGAAATCACCTCCCTCCGCTTCTTCAGCTGATCAGTGGGACCCTTTCTGGGGGCTTTTTTTCCTCTTTTTATTGCTTTAAAATAGCTGTTGGGCAATGGGGAAGCGGGGTCCTGCCCTGGGCAGTGCTGGCCACTGTGGGGGCTGAGTCGTGCTTTAGTTCCCTCCCGTTTGGGGAAGATGTGCTGAATTTTGGAAGGGGATTTCCTTGCATCTGTTCCGCCACGTCCATCCCCACGCGACCAGTGGACCACGGGAGCAGCTCAGCTGCTCTAAGCCTTTGGGCATGGTGCTGCTCTCCATCGCTGCGGGGACGGCCGAGGCTCACCCGTGGTCGCCCGGCGGATGTTGCTTTGTCTGCGGATCCTATTCTGTCATTTATTTGCTAAGCTTCGTCCTTCAGGAAGATATGTTTGCATAGGCACTGCTGCAAAAATAATTTTATTTATATATACATGTGTACATATACATAAACACTTACTGTACTTAACCTAGCAAACTGTTTAAAAATTGCTTCCCCACAGAAATTCTGCCAATATTTCTTCTGCATAAATGTTATTCAGCCTCAGACGGCTCAGGCTGAGCTTGAGCGTGGTGGAGGCTGTAGCCATGGCTCTGCCAGCAGCAGGGACGTGTCTGTGTCCTTGTCCCCACGACGGGCAGTGATCCCACACCTCCAGCTGCTTCGTGGGATAACACAGGTAGATTTCTGACCTAAGTAAAACCTGACGTGGGAAGGATGGAGCAATCCTTGTCAGTGTTAATTAACTCCTGTGCAATTGTCTCCTACAATTAGGGAAAACAACTCGCTACATGGCTTGTTGCTACAGGTTAATTTTCTCCTTTCAAGCTGAGCGTGTTCATTAAACGGCTCTGCGCTGCCCCAAAGCAGCTTCCCTGCGCGCTGTGTTGCTGTGCAGCTTGACCCGCAGCCTCAATTAGCAGGGAAGTTTCTTGTTAGCCTCACGCTTGCCTTGTCAGATCTCTGCAGTCATTTTCTGTCCTTTGCAGGGTCGGGACTGGTGCTGTGGGACGGGCCCGGGAGCGGCCGGGGCGGTGGGATGGTGGTTCTGGGGACATCGCGGCTCCCTGCTGCGGGAGCGGGGCTGCTGCCGTGTGCTCCTTGGAGGATTAAAAGGGTTTCTCTTGCCAGCAAAAACCAGCACCTTGGTGACGCCCTGCCTTGACGGTGGCCTCCGAGCTGGCGTCCTGCGCAGGTCCCTGCTCACTGAAATTGGAAAATGGCTGTTTTGAGCCGGGGGGGGAAGGCGCTGGCTGAGCCTCGCACACGTGCGCCCAGGGAAGAAAATTAAACTGTCACGCTCTCCAAAGGCCAGGCAGCAGGAACTTGGGATAAAAATGCCTCAGGCAGAAAATGAGCTTTATAGCGTTTGGCCAGCTTCGGATGAGGTTGGCAGATGCTTAATCAGCTTATTTGCCGTAAGTATCTGTCTGTCGTCTTGCCTCCCTTCCCCGGGATGGGACGCTGCCAGCAGCGCGGCGTGGGGGGGTACAGAGCCCTCGCTTCCCTGGGGAGGGGGAACACCATCCGTGCTCGGGGCGGGCGGGGACACGTAGGCATTAAACTTAATTTTCCAGTGGTACCCTTGGCGGGAGGCTGTCGGAACAGGGTGGGGGGCTGTCCCCGAGGTGGGGCAGGGGCTTGGGACAGGCTCCGGGGCTGCAGCCGGGCTCAGTCCGGGGGTCGGATTTGCCGGGAGAGAATGGAGATTTTGTTGTCTCTGCCACAGCTCGGCTGGGAATCGGTGTCTGGTTTTAGAGATGCTATCGGCGCCAGGGATTGAATAGCTCTGGCAGGGGAGGGTCAGTAGCTGCTGTGCCAAACGGACAAAGAGCCGTTCTTCTTTGTGATCCGATTATTCCTCCCCCCACCACCCCCATGTTTAAATAAGGACCTTAAAGCGAGGGAGGAAAAGCTGTCAGACAGCGCTTCTGGTGTTCACCGACACCCTAATTTATGCATTTATAGGCAGGTGGAAAGTGACACCAAGTGCCTTGAGACCGAGGTGTAATTCCTTGCACATGGCTTCACGTCGGTGGGGACGATGGTGGCTTTGTTTTGTCTTCAGCTCCTCGGGGGTTATTCCGAATATCACTCTTCAGCTCTTCTTGCTGGTCCTTGATAGAGCAAACTGATGCCATTCTCCGAGGTCATCCCAGGAGCGGGATGTCACCAGCCATCATCTCCCAGAACTCGGGTCAACTTGGCAGTTGGCCTGAGGGCCATTGTCTGCTGTCTCAAACAGCCACTTATGGTTATTATTACTATTACGGTCATATTTGCCATATCTGATAATTTTCTGGTTTGGGGCATTCGCTTATCTCTCACGGCGAAGCACCTGCACAAGGCACCTGGCACTGGGACACTGCAGAGCCACCTTGTTATTGACCCTCTGCCTCGTGGTGTTCAAAACCCAAGCTTGGTCTTCCTCAGTAACACTGCGGGATGAAGGGAGGATGCCTGGGGGCATCTTCCCACCTGGTGCCAGGGCAGAGCCAATGGAGCTGGGGCTGGGAAGAGCCCTCTGGAGCGGTTGTCCTTGGCGAGGGGTGAAGGTACCTCCAACATGCTCATAGAGAGCAGGAGGAGGCATGGCTCGAGGTGGTGGCAACGGGTTGTTGCCTTCAGCTGATGTTCAACATCCCTTATCGTAGCGTGTGGTTTGGCGTTTGGCTACTTCTGCACTGTCTTCATCCTGTACTTCTGATTTACCCAAAATAAGAACATTTGCCCTTCCAGGTCAATAGGGCCATTGCTTTTGTGCATTATTTGCAAGGCATGGGTATGCTTAAGGCTTCTTGGTGTAAACCCACCATCTTCTTGCAGGCGTTGGGAAGCTGAGTTGCTGAGAGGTGTGGGAGGGGTTGGTTTTTTTTTTTTTTTTTTTTCTGCCATCACACTGATGAACACCCAGTACAGTGTGGCTGCCCCAGGGGAGTGTGGAGCTGCTCTGTCCAGCTCCCGCGCATCTCTGCTAACCCTTGATGATGTTCTTCTTTTTCCTCTAGACGATCATGGAGCAGTTCAATCCCAGCCTCAGGAATTTCATTTCTATGGGGAAGACCTATGAAAAAGCCTTAGCAAGTAAGTGAAACTGCACTGCTGATGTGTTTTATTGCTGAAACCCTGGGGGCTGCAAGGCTGGTGGGGGTTTGGCTGGGTCTGGCTGGACAGCGTGGCCAAGGAAAGGTGGAAGGGGGTGCTCTTTGTTCCCAGGGGAGGAAGCTGGGGAGATGGTTCCTGGACCCCGATGCAAGGCTCAAGGCATTAGGATGTGCAAGGCATGAGCCTGCTGCGGAGCCACGGGTGTGGAAAGGATTCGAGTGATAAAATGTTGGGTAGCACCTGATAACGCATACATCTCCAACCAGCTTATCTTTCAGTGTTACTTTAAAATATTTAGAATTAAGAGTGTAAGTTCTGCTTATAGATGTGTTATTGAAATCTTCAGACTGCCCAGAAGAATGCATTGCAAGAGAAGGAAAAAAAACTAAAAAAATTGGTGGCAGCTCTTGTTTGGGAATACAGAGACCTAATGGGAGGTGTAGGTTTAAATGCTCAGAAATAAAATATGAATTGATAACAACCAAAAATGGACTATTTTGACTTAAAATGACTTTGCATACTGCCTGGGTCCTACTTGGCTCAGTTTTAAGAAGGTTTGATGCAGGCTTTGTTCAACCCCAGAGGCGGCTGCTTGCTTTTGGGGAGGGCTCTGCTCGCTTCAGAGCTGCACTGCACATGTCTCTTGAATTTTGTTTTGTAATTGGTTCAGTGAAGACGCCTGTAAGGGAAGAGGCTGTCATAATCTGAAGCCAGTGGAAAAAAAAATATTTTAGTGTCTCATGTTCTTAAACGCTGGTGGTTGAAATGCGACCTTTGGGAAGGATCTGTGCCTTCTTGCTTTGTGCCTGGAGCACATTTTATTTTCCACAAGTGAAATGAGGTTCCTGGACGTTTCAGTGAAGGATCTTTTAAGGTGCAGCTGTCCTGCTGCTCTCGGGTACAGCGCTCCCCTGCCCGCTGCTTCCTTGCCAGTTCTCAGCTGTGTTTTGAATGAGGTTTTAATGGATCAACTGGCCGTGACGTGGGGAGTGCCCCTCCATCCCGCTCCACTGCGCAGGGGCTGTGGACTCTGCTCTCCCAGGGATGGGGCACTTGGTACACCCTTCCAAGCAGCAGAATTTCCCAGCTGTTCCCAACAATGCTGACGAAGCGGGGGGGTCCGGGGGGGTGGTCCATGGCTTGGGTGTGCTGCTGCTGCGGGTTCCCTGCTGGGGCTGCACTTGGGTGCCGCGGGGACGGGAGGAGAGGCCGGGGCCGCTGCGGGGCGAGAGGTGGCACTTGGGACCGAGCTTCCACGTGCTCCTCTGAAATGTTATACGGATAATGCAGCTTTTAATTTCTCGGGTGGTGGAGTCCTTTTTATAACGTGCTGTTTTATCACAGCTTAAGTTGGGCACGCTGTAACTGCAGCGTTTTGAAGACAACCAGTATGATCACTTGTTTTCTATTTTTCTCACATCCCTACTGTGATTACACTCTGAAGCCCAACATCTTCCTGTAATTTTTAAAATTGTGTTTGGTCATCCTTTGCTTTGGATCTCTGAGCTTGTAGGGGCAACTGAAGGAAGTGTCTTAATCAGTAATTCTTGCTGGAAGAGGCTTCAGCACATAATATGATGGTGTTGAGCTAAAGCTGTACAACATGTTCTCGTGATTAGAGGAAACCCCCTGCTTATCTGATTAAAGTGGAGTGTGTAGCTGGAATGTCAACAAACAAGACTGAACTATAATGAAAGTCTGTGATATTCAATTATTCCACAGTGATTTTTCTGAGCGGCATTAAGCAGGCTGATGGTTACTCTGGAATGAAAACCACCCAGGTCCTGCACGTACCTTTTTTGTCCTAAATTGTCCTGTAATCTTGCTGCTCGAGCTTTCTTCTTCCTTCACTCATATTTCTTCTGTTTGTTTAGTCCCTCCCCATGGGGTTAAGCTCTTTGAAGTAATGTCTATTTTAGTGTCTAGCATCTCCTCAGTGCCAGAGAAGTTATAATAGCCTTTAAAGACAATATAACCTGCATTTTTTGATGCTTTTAGGTATGACTTACGCAGCAAAAGGATACTTCGATGCTCTGGTTAAGATGGGAGAGTTGGCCAGTGAAAGCCAAGGATCTAAAGAATTGGGTAAGTCACCAGTTTACTGCTAAATGGTGTCACAGTCCGGAGCAGGTTCTGAGCACAGGAGGGAAACCAGATTTTTGCTGTTGGAGATAAACTCAATGTGGAGCTGATCCTGCCTCATGTGAATGGTAAAAATTCTGTGTTTACTGTTAATGTAGCTTTAAAAAAAAGAAAAGCCTGCTATTATTAGTGTCAGGGTTTTGGGGCATTGTCAGCTTGTGGTGTTGGCAAAGAGGAAGCGTTTGCAGAGAGCGGCTGCTTTGGTGTTTTTGCCTTGCTCTGCAAAGGAGGGACGAGCACTGGGCTCTGCCTGGGTCTGAGGCAGCGGTGCTGGACTCAGCCTCTGGAGGGGAGGGGGCGGTTTGGGGGTCCTGGCCGGGGCTGGGGTGGGGTGGGGGGCTGTGTCCACCCCCAAAACCCCGCTGAGTGTGGCAGAGCTGGCGCAGGGTCGGTGGAACGCTGCGGGCGTCTTGTATTTACCTGCTCAGCCGACCAGAGTTGCGACAGAGCTCGCGGGCAGCGATGCTCAGCGTCTCCTTCCCCTTCCTTCCTCTTACTCCTCTGGTCCGTCACTCGGGAGCTGCTTTTCCACTCGTCCCGTTGCCCGGGCATGGCTCCCGTGTTCTCCCTCCTCGCTGCTGTTCTGCCGCGCAGACGTGGTTTGAGGCGGCTCTTCCCCCGGCTCCCCCCCGCCCCAGGGATGCTGCAGCCCCTCGTTCAGGCTCTTGTGGGGCTGAGATGGGGTTTGGTCTTGTGGCCTTTGCAGCCCCAGGTGAACGAATCCTCCTCCCGCAGGTCTGGCTCACCAGATCGCTGTGCTGGGAGATGGCAAGCCGTGCTCGTTAACGCGAGCTCTCCGAGGCAGTCAATTAGCAGAAAAGAGGTTGAGCTGAAATGGCTGTAAAGGCGGACGAAGCGATGGGTGAGCAGCCCCTCGGGGGGGCCAGGCTTCGGTTTTGCCGTGTTGTGCTCGGTGTCAGACACCCCTCGCCCCACCAGCGGGCTGCTCCAGCCCAGCTCGGCCGTGCACAGCTCGCTGCCTGCGCCTGAATTTTGATGGGGAAGCAGCAAGTGTCTATGGAAACCGATTCTATCGCTTGGATTAAAGCTGCCTATAGCAATCTGTTTCTGTTTAATAAATAAAACAAGAGAGCCTTGTGTGCGATGCAGGCAGCGACTGAGATTGTGAGGGCTGTGCAGACCTCGCTAAGGGCTTCCTCTTCTGCCTCTTCGGGGGTGAAAGATGCAGCAGCTCTGGCCCCCTGGACGTGAAAGCTTGGGAAAGCCTTATCAGAGGCAGGAGCCTGGGGACTGCAAACCCTGCCTCCCCTTCAGAGCAGCCCCAGGCTTCGCTCACGACTAAAACCTGGCTTCGGTGTCTTCTGGGGGTCCTGCTCCCTCGCCGAAGGATGGTGGTTTGACAGCAGGCATCCTTAGTGCCCTCCCACAGTCTTCCAACGTGCGTTTGGTGTGTGGCATGAGTATTTTGGGGTTGGTTTAAAAATGTTTCCGAATCACTGTGCCTTCTGCTCTTGGTGTGAGCACATTCGAGGGAGGATCCTGGCAGCTCCTGCTCAGCCCAGAGCTGTGATGAGCGGCTGTTCCTCAGACCTCTTGCTTTGTTGATCTTGCTGATATTTATTGTGGCAGCTGCTCCATGCAGAGGAAAGTTAAGATAAAATTTCTGGCTGCAGTTTACTGGAGCTGATAACAGCTGGGGACACAACCTCCTTCCAGCGGGATGTGTAAACAGGGGCTGAAAAATATTTTAGATTGGTGCTGCACTCGCCAAAGGTACAGCTTTTCCTGGGAACACCTTTACCTTATCAGGCCCTGTGCTGTGATTGCTGATAGCGCCAGAAAGGAGCGCTGGGGTCTGGGTTATTTCATGCCTTACCAGAGGCTGCAGCAGATGGGGATGTTCATAATCACCGCTTGCATTAACGCTGTGCTGCCCTTGCTCCCCCGTCCCCGTGCGGGGGGTCCCTCCCTGGGTGACAGCACGGGGAAAGCTGCTCCGAGACATCAGGCAGGACTCCAGGATGCTCTGGTGGGGGCTGCAGCTTGCATCTGTTTCCAACCTCCAGAAAAGGATCTGAGATTTTTCCTCCCCGCCCTCCTTAACCCTTTCTTTTTCAGAAAATCCACATACAGATGTGGATTTCTGGGACAGTAGGTGTCAAAAGAACATAAAAATACCCAGCCCCCATGTTTGAAAGGTGATGAAGGCAGCCACATCGGTCCCTAGCTCTCCTGCCTGCGCTGCAGTGATGCTGTCTGTGCCGGGGGGGGCTGGGGGGGCTCAGCACCCCCCGGGTGGTGCAGCACAGAAGCCTCATCCTGGGGAGCTGGGTGAACACTCCGAGGCTGCTCTGTGCTGGGGGAGCTGCTGGGGCTCTGTCAGTGGGTGACCCAAACCGGCCGTGTTCTCCTGTCATCTTCTCTCCGATAGCCCTTGTGACTCCAAGGAGTCACTTTTTCAGTTGGGCGCTGGAGAGCTGCCTGTCCCCAGCTGTGTTCAGCCCTGCCGGCTGTCTGGGGTGACTTGTTCTGCTTGGGGCTGACTTTTTTTAAAAAAAAAAAAAAAAAAAATCCTGTGATTATAGTGATGCTGCACATTTGTCTCACTGAAAACATCTAGCCTGTCAGAGCGCTGCCTCCAGGCTTAAGTCTCTGCTCACCAGCTGCTTAGCACTTCACATTTTTTTTGTAAATTCTCCATCAGATTTTACCAGCTGTGTGTAGACAGGATAATCCTGGGTGGTAATGGAAAACCTAGCGATAATAAAGCACTTGAGCTGTAATCAGCTTTGGCTTGAGTTTACACAGGAGTCTGAACCCCGCTGCTGAGGTTTGGGGTGCTCACAGTCTGTTTTCTTGGATTTTAACTAAAGTGATGCTCTGACCAGGTACGGGGTGTGGCTGCCGGTTGTCCCCACACAGAAGTTTGCCCCGAGTTTGCTCCGTGCAATTCCATGTCGGTTTAGCCGTTTTATGCTTTCAACAACCTGGGCAAATCCTTCTGTGCCTCATGAGGAGCTGCAGCTGCTCCGTGCTCCAGAGCAGCTCCCAGTGCCATGCGGGAAGGGGGGGATGACCCCCGTTATGGGCCCTCCCCGGGAGCTGCTGGGCGCCCCGGAGGGGTCGCGGCCAGGCTCGGGTTGCGGTGGCGTTCCCGGCAGGGACGGCAGGAAAGCTGCTCCTCTCCCTGCTCTGGGCTGCTGCCCGCTTTCTGGCACTGGGAAGATTAGACCCATGCCCACAGTTCCTCTTTGAGAGAGGCTCCTCGTGCTGTTCTTCACACCTTCCGTGGTTGCTGCGGTGGCTTTTGGGAAGCTGAGAAGCTGGTGTGGAGGGCGTGAACGCTGCACAGTGAAGGCTTGCTCCAGGCTGGATCCGGGAACAGCTTGTAGGCACTCCTGAGGAGCTCCAGTCTCATGAGTGCGAGTGCTTTGGGTGACTTTGGCCCTTGTCCAGCTCCTGCTTAGGTCCCCGAGATGCTACTCAAGGTTTCTTTTGTCCCCCTTGGAAATGAGGCCGTGGCAAAGTCCTGGGAAGAGTTTGTCTCCGTGGAAGCCTGTGCCTGGTGAGTGGAGCCGGAGGCAGCTTCCACGGGGCTGGGAGCGCACGGGGATGCTGGGGCTGAAGAGCATCTGCAGGAGACTCCACAGGGCTGGGGGTGGATTTTGCTTAGCAGTTGCTTTTCTCGAAGGTGGTCCTGAATTAGTGAGGGCTGCTGTGCCTGAAGCATGGTGCTATGAAAAGGCAAGACATGCAGTAATTAGTCGACCATTGCTGAGCTGAAATGAGCCTCTGGTAGAGAATGGCTTTCTTCCGATACACAGTTTGCACAATAAAATCAGGACAGGTGGCACATTGGTGGTCCGGTCTTTGCTGCGGAGCTGTTTTGTGTCGGTGGAGCTTCAAGAGCTTGAAACCATCTCCATGCAGCTTTTAAAACTCTGAGGAGCATCACGGAGGGGTGCGGGGTAGAGTCATCTCCACTGGGCACGCTGTGCCCCGAGAAGGTGCCTGCGGTCGGAGCTGGGCACAGAGCCTGATCCTGTCCGTGGTGCTGCCATCGAGCCAGGGTGGCACCAGCCTGGGACGTGACAGCTCCTGGAGAGGAGCCGGCCAGCCTGGTGGGATGCCCACGGCTGCCGGGCAGGTCAGACTCCAGTCTTCGCTGCAGCAGCTCAGTCTGGGCTGGCTCTTGGCGGCGGGGTCTGTAGGCTTTGTGTTGCACTGAATCCTCTGGGGACAGGGATTAATCTGTTAATTGGATTTGCAGTTGTTTTGGGTAGCTGCTTCCTGAAGCAGCGGAGATGCAGATACAGATCCCGCGAATGTCAGAGGTCGTCGCAGTGTTCGGTGTGTGACCAGGGAACCGCTGGCGGTGGCCGTGGTGCCCGAAGTCTGCGGGGGTCCTGCCAGAGCAGCGCCCAGCAGAAATGCAGCTGAACTCCAGGGAATATTTGCCTGTGGGTGACTTGGTGTCCCTGCAGTGAGGTCCCTCTGCCCGTGGAGATGAGCTCCTGGGTGGGAGAGCAGCGGTAATCTTGTTGCTTGATGCTTTTAAAATTGGACTTAACGATGCACGTAATGGCTTGGGGGTAACAACCTTGTGCTGCTGCTGAAAGAATGAATGCTCCGGACCTCCGTTCCACCTGTGATTCTGTTAAAAGGCCTAATTTGCCAGACAAATTATTCCAAAAATTCAGGACTCGGCCTCCAAGCAGTGTAGTTCACTTAGGAAAGGAACTTGTAGGAATGGGCTTGCTAAGGGTGCAGAAACATGAGAAAGACCTTTTGAAAACGGCTGCCTGCCTCAGAAAGGGTCTCTCTACTGTCTGCGTTGCCTTTTCACTCCCTTCCAATCCTCTGGTTAAAAGCAGACTGCCATAGCAGTAGGCTTGTTCTCACCAACCTGTGTTTGGGTAAGTAATGGTGGAGGGTTGTTAAATGAGCATCTGCGAAGAGCATGTTGCCTGGCTGGAGTTTCT